GGCCTGTCGGGGAGCGGCTCTGGGTGCGGCGCAGGCGCAGGAGCCGGCGGGGGCGCCTCCTCTGGGGGCCCCTCAGGAGCTTCGGGAAGCTCCTCTGGCGCAACCTCGGGCGGCTCGGCCGCAAGCACCTCGGGCGCTGGCGCTGGCGGCCCCTCTGGTTCCGGCGCCGGCGGGCCCTCGCGCTCGCGGCATGAGAGAAAGAAGACCTGGTGATGATGAGAGAGGGGATAGGACAAGAAGAGAGGAGAGGAGAGAGAGAGTGAGAGAGAGAGCGAGAGTGAGCGAGAGAGGGAGAGAGAGAGAGAGAGAGAGAGAGAGAGAGAGAGAGAGAGAGAGAGAGAGAGAGAGAGAGAGAGAGAGAGAGAAAAAGAGAGAGAGAAAAGAGAGATAGAACCGAGAGAGAGAGAGATAAAGAAAGAGAGAAAGAGAGAGAGAGAGAGAGAGAGAGAGAGAGAGAGAACAAAAAAAAGAGAGGAAGAGAGCGAAGGGGGGAGGGAGGAAGGAAGGAAGGCGGAGGGAGGCAGGGATGGAGAGAGCGAGAGAGGGAGGGAGAGGGAGGGAGGGGGGGAGAGAGGGAGGGGGGGGAGGGAGAGCGAGAGAGAGAGAGAGAGAGAACGAGAAAAAAAAAAAAAAAAAAAAAAAAACAAAAAAAAAAAAAAAAGAGACAGGAGAGAGGGAGAGAAGGAGAGAGAGAGAGAGAGAGAGAGAGAGAGAGAGAGAGAGAGAGAGAGAGAGAGAGAGAGAGAGAGAGAGAGAGAGAGAAAAGAGGGAGGGAGCCAGGTTGACAATCAAATCAACAGCGACAACCGCGTCGTCGGTAGACAGGCACTCACTAATCACTCCACCAATAGACACGTCTCACGTTAGTTATGCATTGGCCACCACCCTCTCCTCCAACGACTGTTCTCCACCCTGGCAGGGCGAGGGAATGCAGGGCGCAGAACAGCACGGTGCGAAACCTGGGCCGCCTGGGCCCACGCTGCAAGAAAGGAGCTGACATCTGCTTGCGTCGCAACAAGGGGCGATCGGCCCTCGAACGCCTGGAACTGATCATCCAACACGTCCTCCTCGAAGATGACGCCAGCGCAGCCCTCCGAGCCGCTCTCCCAGGCGCCATTGCCGTCGCCGGCAGCGACGGCGCCAAGATCGCCAGCGACAGGTCCGTCAGCGCCAGCCGCGGGCCCAGCAGCAGCGGCCTCGCAGTCGGGCGAATGCCAGACATGTGGAACATAAAGAGGAGCAGAAAGATATTGAACTATGCATATTCATGCGCTGCGCGTGTTCGAGCGCTTGCGATCCTAGCATCTGACATTTTGAAGACGGAATGACACGCGCGCATCGCGCCACTGCGCTGGTCGGACACGCAATCGACGGGCGCGCGCGCTCAAAAGCTCGCATCGATTCGACATCAAAGCATCGATTCGACATCAAAGCAGCGCAGGGTTAGCGGCGTTACAACGTCGACTAAAACACTCGGATAGCGACACCCCAGACAAGCAAGACACGAGAGGCGAGCCTCCGCCCGAGCAATGACGTCGAGCAGATCAGGGCGGGCAGCTTCCGCGCCGCCAGGAGGGCCACCGCCGCCGCCTGCGTCGCCGGGCGCGCCGCCACCGCCAGCTCCTGGAGGCCCACCGCGGTCGCCTCTGGGAGGGGGCGCGGGCGGGCATGGGGCGACTCGACAAAGCGACCTTTGTCTCTTACTCCCTCCTCCAGGCCTCATCCCTCGCCATGCTCCTCCCCCCCCCCTTGCCGCTGCCCGCCGAGCCAGGGGGGGGTGTTCATATTGAAGCCGCAGTGGCCTCCATCGCCGCCGCCGCCCAGTCGGTGATACTCACGACGTAGAATGCGAACGCGGGATGGGCTTTGAACGAGATCTTCAACGGTATGAACGACCATCTGGACTTCCTCATCAATGCGAGCGCCCGCGGCGATCGCCAAAGACCTCTGCTCCCGACGCTCGCGACAGTAGCAGATGATAGGTACCAAACAGAGGGGGCGCTACATCAATCCGAAGGGCTCAACGAAAACCCAAAGAAGCTGCAGGGCGCGCGATCAGGCAACATCACACATCACAATCACAATGGCAAAACGCACGTGCCGAGGCAGTCACTATGACCAGTGGCAAACAGAGTCTGCAGCACGTGAACGCCATCGCGCGCACTCGCGCGCAGCGTGCAGGTTTGCTCAATCAAATCATCAGACGTGCCAAGGCCGCCCCTGCCCCCTGCCCGCCCGACCGCGCAATTGAGTAACTAGTCTTGAAGGACAACTCACCCTTCAAAACGCGGAGCTGGATGAACGTGGCATCGCCGTCGCCGACAGCCTCCTCGTCTGATTCGGTGCCGCCGTCGAAGAGACACTGCGCGAACACGAGCAACGGCGGCAACGAGAAGCGGCGATAGCCCAAGCAATATGGATCTGATGAGAACCTGATCGTGTGGAAACTCACGAAGCATCCGATCTCAACGCTCGCATTCAAGATCGTCAACATTGATTTCGCCAGACGCATGGCCATGTCAAAATGAGGGGCGTCATCAGTTCGACAGAGCCCTGGGTGAGCATCCCAACATGGCAGCTTGACTTGAAGAGGGCCTTTTAGACGAGGATCGGCGCCGACGCACATGCCCTGGCGGAGCTCGCCCCTCGCGAAGTCGCCGACTCTCCGAAAGCCTCCTCGCCATTCTTTCATTCCGAACTTCCTGGCCAAGACCTCAACGTGCGCCTGGAAACGCGCAGACGCAATAGGCCAGATCTCGTCACCGACGTCGAATGGGAAGACCTGTCGCGAGAGCTGCTCAACGGCATAACTGTTCACCTGGCCACCAACCACCTCATCGCCATCGCGGGCTGCCTCTGCAATCTCCAGTAAATCTGAATCACCTACGACATCGTCAAGCGAAAAAAGGGGATCGACGCGATGCAACCTGAAGAAGGCGTCGCGCTGCTCCTGAGACATATCCTCGAACTCCCTCCTCCAGGACCGCCGGGCCTCAATCTCCTGCGAGCGACCCCACGACCGCCCTCTGCAGACGCGAGCCCAGCGAGACTTAATATACGTAAACATCCAGGACTGATTTCCCTGCGCCCCGCGGCGCGCACGCGTCTTCCTCACCATGACGCGTTTCCCAGAACGGCTTGTCTTCCGACGGGCGCTCCCAGAAGTGACGAGGCTCAAATGTTTCTTGGCGTACTTTGCAGTCCCCTTGGGCGCAGAATAATCAACTCGACCACGAGCAAGGTGCACTCTCATGAGAACCCTGGAGACGGAATGGTAAATCACGCCCTCCACCTGCCGCCTCGTAGAATGCGTTGACAGCACGGAATTCTTATTAGTAGCGTGAGTGCTTTCCACGTGAGCAACAGACGTCCTGCCGCGAGACATCCACGACCTGAGACAGCCTTTCAGAGCCGCGCTGGATAACACTGCAGCTGGAGAATCACACACGCACCTGATCTTCTCAGAAAAACCCTTATCCAAACAACACCTGTTACAATCGTACAAACGGCGAGCCACGGCGGCAGGAGAATCAGGGGAACCAGCAGGGGCAGTGGAAGGAAGCACAAGCTTGATCAATTGGAATGGGAATTGTTCCAAGTAGTAGTCGACCCGCCAATGCACTGCAGCAGAAAGCTCAACGACGCACGTCCTGCAATTTCTGACGTGCCTTCGGCGGCCCTCAACGCCCAATGGGAAGTACGATCTCACAAGAAGGTGAACATCCCCGCAGCAGAGCGCATTCACGAACGCCTGCTGGCACGACCGCACCGGGCTCAAAGTGCTCGACGAAAGAAGGTCTGGCAATACGCTGCCATTCTCATCCCTGCGAATAAGCTCTACAATCAAATCATCCAACGGTTTACATGTCAAAGAAAGCGTGAGAACGTAAGACACCAGCTCGGCATCATCAAGGAAGGCCGACACCCTCCTGACCTTGCGGCTCATCTGCCGCGAGAAAGACTCCTCCTCGCCACTGGGCTCGTCGCCGACGTACGGCTCGGAACTGAATGCCAACTTCCACGCGCGCCGAAAAATATTGCGCGGCAGCAGTGCCATGCCAAGCCAGGAACAATACGGCCCAAGGACAGACCACCTCGGGCGGGGGAAAAATGGCCGAAGGAGAGGGGGGCGGCAACGACGACGACGAGGTCCCAGGGGTCACGCCGAAAAAAAAGTCGATAACAACCCTGATAATGGGCAGGCTGAGGGCGGGCTGAGGGCGGGTGCACTGAGAATGGGCGGGCTGAGGGCGGGCTGAAGGCGGGCTGGAGGTGGGCGGGCTGAGGGCGGGTGAACCGAGAGACTGAGAGTGGGCGGGGTGGGGCTGAGGGCGCGCTGAGGCTGGGGAGTCGGGCAGGGCGGGTGGCGAAAAAGAGGGGGGGGGATTAAACGAGAGAGAAGGCCCAGGGCAGTAGAGATCGAACGTCACAGTTTCCCAGTTCGGTTTTTGAAGGCAGGTTCACTTGTTGCAATCATTCCCATCCCCGCCGGGAGAAGGAAGTACAATTCGGCATCATCGTGACGAAAAGCCAAAACATCAGCTCGACGAGGAGCGAGATCGCGCTCTCCTTGGTGCGCCCGCACTGGCACCCCACCGGGCAGAAGTGCACGATGGAACTCTCGTTCCAGGGCGCCTGCAGCGCGGCCGCGGAGCAGGAGTGAAGGGCCTCGAGATGGGCGAGGGAGAATGACGAGGAAGAGAGGAAGGGGGATCAGGATGATAGAGGGCGAGGAGGAGGGCGATGAGGACGAGGCCGAGGAAAGATGAAGCAGGGATGCGGATGAGGAAGAGGATGAAGATGATGATGGGGACGATGAGGATGGGGATGATGAGAATGACGATGAGAATGAGGGTGAGGGAGGTTTGGAGGGGCGAAGACGCGGATGGTGAAGGGTGAGGGATGAGGGGTGGCGGACGAGGCAACGATGAGGATGATGATGAGGGGTGGCGCCGCGGCGCCTGCAAGAGCTGGAACAGCATGTTCGCTCGATGATCAACGCGCTGCTCCTTGGCGCCCTCGAAAGGGTTCGCAAACTCCCTGCGCAGCACGCGGTCCAAGAGCAGGATATTCAACATCCGTCGATCCCTCACGCGGTGCTCTGCATTCTCTGGCGGCGGGGGAACCCCTAGCTGGAAATCGAGGCCTTGGCAAACGCTCACGACGGCCAGCTTCAGCGCGTCGACTCTGCCCGAGATGCGAAGGACCGACCCGAGGGCCCCGAGGGTTGGCGTCAACTTCCGCCGATCCAAAATGACGATGACACCTGGCGGCAAGGGCCCGAACGGGCCCGAACTTGGGCCGCAGCAAGGGCCCTCGCACGGGAAGGAAGGGGGAGGAGGGAGGCGAAAGAGCGTGGACCGCGTGAGCGCGAGAGATGATACGCGCATCGATGGGAGGGATAGTGAGAGGGGAAAAAGGGATAATAAGGAGAAGGATGAGGAGGGGGAGGGGAAGGAGGAGGAGGTGGAGGAGGAGGAGGAGGAGGAGGAGGAGGAGGGGAAGGAGGAGCGCAGGATGGCCCCTGATAAAGGGGGGTGGCCATGGGAAGCCCCCCCATCATCCCCCTCTTGCTCGTCCTTCTCCTCCTCTTCCTTCTCCTCCTCCTCCTCGTCCACCCCCCCGCGTTCCTCCTCCTCCTCACCGCGCTCCTCTTCCCCCTCTCGCACCCCGCCCTCGTTCTCATCTCCATCCCGCCTCTTGCCTCCTCCTCTTTCCCCTGGGGGCCCACCGCGAAAGAGCTGGTGCACCAAGCACTTGCTGCCCCAGCTGCAAACTTTGGCGCCGCAGTTCAGGGCGCTAAACATAATGGACTTCCGATTGGACGAGGCGGCGTCGGCGCATTCAACGACCAAGATCAACTCCTGGCCCCCGGGCGCCCCAGCGATCAAACAACGGCCTCGAATGGCCGACGAGGGCGGGCTGGGCGGGAAGGCTCATGGACGGACCCAGGGAAACGAATTTTTCGGAGGCCGAGGGCGAAGGGGACTGACGAGGAAAGGAAGGCGAGAGGGATGGGGGAGGGAGGAGGGGGCGGAGGAGGAAGAGCAGCAGCAGCAGCAGAAGCAGGCGGAGGAGGAGGAGGAGGAGGAGGAGGAGGAGGAGGAGGAGGGGGGGAGGGGGGGGGACGGAGCCCTTGCCTTGCCGAGAAGGCGCAAGGCGTCGAAGCTCAGGCAACCGCCCAAGGCGCCCTGCACGGCCGAATGGACGTGCCCGGCCGACTTGCCCAGCAGCAGCCTGGGGGGGATGATCAGCTGCGCGGACTCGCCTGAGCTGCGACCGCCGCGTCGTCGCATCGTCCTCCTGCCGCTTCTCCTCGTCGTCGTCCTCCTCTCCTCCCCCGCGCCCTCCTCCTCCTCCTCCTCCTCCTCCTCCTCCTCCTCCTCCTCGTCCTTCTCGCCCTCCTCCTCCTGCTCCTCCTCGTCCTCACCTCATCCCCCTCATCCCTCTCTTCCGCCCACGTCCCCCCCTTGGGCCAGAGGGCCCCTGGGTGGCCCCCGGGGCCGCCGCCAACGACAATGGGGGGGATCATCGCGGCAAAACTTCGGTAAAGATTTCTAAACCGAGAACCAGAGGAAAGTGTTAAAGGAGTTGAGCGGGCCGCTGCCTGGGCCGCACTCCACAGCGCACATGTGGCTGAACATGTCCACTACGCCGTGCTGCGTGTTCTTCAGGCCAAGCTGTAACCACGTCTGGTGATCACAAAGAACACGATCACCCAATTGGCGCCGATGGCGATGGGGAATTACGTAACGTGCAAAAGGGCGAATCAGTTCAGATAACATACCAAAGCTCATGTGAATCGGCGTGTCGTCGTAGGAATGTTCAATGAAACAATACCCACTCGATGAACCAACGAGTAATTCACGCAACATGTTATTCTGCGAATGCTGAAGACAAGACGAAGCAAGGGCGCGAACGGAAAGGACGCCAGATCCACTGCAGTACTCTTCCCCGTGCTTTGCAAAACACAACTTCAAAGCGCCATGGGGCGTGAACTGCCGAGGATGAACGGCGGTCCGTTCTACGCCGCCCTCAAGAACTTCATCGCCGACGTTCACTTGGGACATGTTCCAACTTTTCTGGATACTGCTGCTATCGGCCTTCAACTGGGACAGTTCATGCCTTTTCTTATTTAACTGCTTGGTCAACCGTGCCCTCTTGATGATCTCGCCCCGACGCTGGACCATCGCCAGGCGGTCCGACGGAGGCGGCCGCGGCGGCCTGGTGGCGCCGGCGATGACGACGAGGCGGCTGCGCTGGCACTGTCCGCGCGCCGCGCCGCCCTGAAGGCCGCCAAAGCTGCGCCCACATTGGCAGTCCCTCTGGGCACCCTGGGCTCGGCCGCCGCGGCTGCTGGCGCATCGCCCCCCTGGCCCTGGATGAAGTCTAAAGGGTCCATCCTCGCTGGAGAATGGAGAAGCCCGCCGCATGGGCCAGAATGCGGCGGCAACGGAAAGAAGCGAGACGGACTCCATCACAGCGCAAGCCGCTAGGCAATCCTCTTTCTGGCAGGGTGACTGACGCTCGCCATCTGGAAAGACTGTCTGGTAGAGTTTCTGGTCGGGATTTGGGTTCTAGAGTTTGAGGCTCGTTTTGAAATCATGCTTTGCCTCAATGAAGCCCCCGCAGCTCCCGCCGATCACAACTTATATCAACTCCGTTTGTTCGAAAGTCGTGCTAACGTTTGTTGATGTTACGACGTACGACGTTACCGCCATGGTACAACATCCTTACTTGCATGCCCCCTGGCTCCTACCTCCATCCCGCATTCCCCCCCTTCCCCCCCCCCCGCCCCCCCCCCCATTTCCCCCCCCCCCTCTCCTCCCCCCATATCCCCTCCCCCCCCCATATCACCCTTCCCTTCCCCCCTCCCCTCCCCTCCCCCTTCTGTTCCCTTTTCGCTGCCCCTTTCGCTGACCTTCGCTGCCCCCTTTCGCCGACCCCTTCGCTCTCCCCCTCCCGTGGCACCTTATCAAAACCCCAAAATCTCAAGATCCCAGAAAGGCCCGTTTTGCAACTCTTGTGGCGGCGTCAAGGGGGGAGGAGGAGGAGGGGGGGGAAGGAGGAGAAGGAGGAGTAGGAGGAGGGGAGGGCTTCCACCCCCTCATCATCCGTCGCGCCACCGACCGCCCCCACAGCGGCTTCCGCAGCCGGGCGTGGCCCGTGCCTCTGTGGGGGGGCCCCCCACCTCCTCGTCATCCTTCTCCTCCTCGTCGTCCACCCCCCATCCCACTTCTCCTCTGAGCTCTGCGCTGCGCTATACCTCGCTGACGCCAGCGCCCGTCTCCTCATCCTCCCCCTTCTCCTCCCCTTCCACTCTCCTCGCCCACCTCCCCCTCCTGATCCTGCTGCTGCTGCTTCTGCTTCTCCTCCTTCTCCTCCTCGCTGCCCTCCTCCCCCATCCCCCCCGCCTCCTCCCACCCCCCCCTCATCCTCCCCCCCCCTCCCCCTCCTCCTCCTCCTCCTCCTCCACCCCCATGCCGACTTCGACGGCGTCGACGTCGACGACGTCGCCCGTCGTCGTCGACGACGCCGACGTCGTCGACGACGTCGACGACAGCTACGACGCCGTCGATGACGACGACGCTCCTCCTCTCCCCCTCCCCCCTCGCTCTCCGGCCCTGGCCCGCGAGCGCGGGCCTCCCGCGCGAGCGCCTCGAGCGGCGGCGGCCCGCGGGCGGCTGGCGGCGGGCCCGCGGCGCGCAGCAGCTGCTGCAGGCTCGCCTTCCGCCGCGGAGAAGGGGGGAGGGGGGGGGGGGGTGCCTTTGTTCCACCCCCCTCTCGGGCGCGCGGGGACCGACGAGGGGGGGGGGGATTGTTGGGGCATTGCACTGCAGGCCCCCCCCCCCCCCCCCCCCCCCTCCCTCTCAGCATCGCATGGCCGACGCCCGCCCCCAGCGGCGTGGCCAGGGCCTCACTGGCCCATGTGGCTCTGCCTAGAGGGTTCTTACTCTCTTTTCTTAAAGGGGCCGGGCAATGGAAAACGCCCCGGACGACCCCCCCGGCATCCGCCCCGCGGTTCCCCCAGTTGCGCCCTCTTACTTGATAGCTTTGCGTATCTCATATTAGTTTTGTTTAGTACCGCTTCATTTTAGCTTAGCTTCATTCGCGTATAACTTTATCGTAGTTTCGCTTAGCTTTATAGCTTAGCTTACTCTAGCATAGCACAGCGCAGCATCGCATATCATAGCATATAGCCCAGCATAGCATAGCATAGCGCAGCATACCATAGCCTAGCATAACATAGCGCAGCCTATAGCGCATCCTAGCATCGCATAGTATAGCATAGCGCAGCATCGCATAGCATAGCATAGCATAGAACGGCATAGCATAGCATAGCATATTATAGTTTGCTTAAAGGGGCCGGGCTGTGGAAAGCGCCCCGGGCGGTTCCCCATGCCCCTTGGGAGCGGTTCCCCCCCGTCCCCTGGGAGCTTTAGCTTTGGCTTTAGAGTTAGTGTTAGCTTAGCTTTAGCTTCAGCTTTGCTTTACCTTAGCTGCATGCTTAGCTTTAGATTTTGCTTAGCTTTAGCTTAGCTTTACATTGGAATTAGCTTAGCTTTAGCTTAGCTCTAGCTTAGCTTTAGCTTAGCTTTAGCTTAGCTTTAGCTTAGCTTCAGCTTTAGCTTTAGCTTAGCTTTAGCTTAGCGTCAGCTTAGCTTTAGCTTTTTATCTTAGCTGCAGCTTAGCTTCAGCTTAGCCTTAGCTCAGCTTAGCTTAGCTTTAGCTGAGCTTCAGCTGAGCTCTAGCTGAACTTTAGCTGAACTTTAGCAGAGCTCAGCTTAGTTTTAGTTTAACTGCAATTCAGCTTTAGCTTAATTGTAGCTTAGTTTCATCTTAGTTGTAACTCAGCTTTACCTCCGCTGTAGCTTAGCATCAGCTTAGCTTCAGCTTAGCTTCAGCTTAGCTTTAGCTTTAGCTTAGCTTTAGCTCAGCTTTAGCTAAGCTTTAGCGTAGCTTTACTGCTACTACACATGTTGCCTTGCTAGGGGCTCCAACTCCTAGGTAGGGTCGCACTGGGATAATATAATCAGATATAATGTAAGTATATATGATATATATAAATGTACATACATCTGTATACATATATATATATATACACATAGGTTGTTCCCGTTGGGTTCCCAGGGGCGCATCCATTGGGGCGGTATCTGGCGGGGGCCTCGAAGGGGGCGAGGACGGGGGCGGGGGTCGGTCGCGCGATGCTGATCCTCGTCGCCCACGCACTCGACGCCGAGGTCCATTCGAATGCTGTTTTTTTCACAAACAGCGAAAACGCGCAGCGGCCCCTCCGCCACAGTGGCTATTGTCCGAGCCACGCATTGCACCGGCAAACAGGAGTGGACGGAGAGGGAGGCGAAGTGAGACGACGAAAAAAAAGAGGATGGGGGGACGCAACTAATTGACGATGAGCGGGCTGAGGAACAGACGGGAACATTGGGGATCGTAGGGCTCGTGGTGTTCGTAGGGCTCAGCGGGGCTCACAGGGCTCATGCATATGTGTGCTTGCGTCTGTTTCTACGCATATCTACAGCTTGTAGGGCTCATATCGGACGAGATGGCTCATGGAGCCCTTTGGGCTGCATGGTTGGGTCATAGGGCTCACAGGGCTCATAAGGCGCATAGGGTTCATGGGGGTCCCCAAGGCTATAGGGTTCGAAGGGCCAACGGGGCCCATGGGACGAATGGGGCTTATAAAGCTCTCGGGGATCATGGGGCCCATGAGGCTCATAGAGCTCATGATTGATTCGTCCTGCGGGTTCGTCTTGGAAACCTGTTGGGGGGTCCTCGGGTGGAACCGTTTTGGAATTCGGGCCGTCTTGGAGCTCTTGAGTCGCTGTGCGAACCGGGGGCCTCGTGGGCCATCTCGGGCGCTGCAAAGACCAATGGCGAATATAACAAGAACATGTGTTTCCTATGGGACTGGATTGAGTTTCGTTGCTTGGGGATTCCTTCGGGAGCAGCGGGTTCCCGAAGTCCCGGAGACCCAGAAAACCCAAGCCTATAGCTGGATTCCAGCACCTCCTTAAGGCTATTCTTGGGGGTCCCTTTGATGGCCTCTTGGGTGTCTAAGCGGCCTCTTGGGCCGTCTTGAAATTGCGTTGGGCCCTGCGTGGGCGATCGCCGTTCTCGGGCCGTCTTGGGCCGTCTCCAAGCCACGCGTGTCCGCCCGAGAAGCGAGCGGGGAAGAAGGCCGTGCAGCTCCCTCGCGCAGCTCGCAAGCTCACGCCACGATCAAACTGGCCTCGTCGAGATGGGTCCGCC